TGTCACGCCAACCCTCTCTCAACTCTCCGTTTGCCTTCACTTCCTCCATGTCTTCCTCTTTTCCTCCTGCCTGGTAGTTCCACCTTTAACAACCTTTGTCAAAGGGTGGACTCATTTCTAATCCTGTCCCTCTTGGTCACTCCCATTGAAAACCTTACCATCTTTAACTTTGTCACTTCCACCTCATCCTAGTACCCTCAGCTATGGTGGTCATCAAATCAATTAGTCAACAGTTTTTCCTTTATAATTTTTGTCCATGAACATGAGTTATTGTAGACACACAGAGGTCTAAAGTCAGATTTTTCTCATTATCAAAATAATTTGCAATCTTTAACAAACATGTGTGATGTTAGAATAGGCCCATAGGACAGGTTAAAAGCACAGCAGTTGCTGATGCCAAAGCATGAAGGAAAGGTGACTGAAAAATTACTCATGACTCAAAAGATTCAGGAAACAAGAACAAAACCAGCCCGTGGCCTTATGCTATTTTATAGTAGCTATCTACTCGTTTATCATCAGAGCAGATTTGAGTTCTTGTGGCAGTTACAAGAAATTACAAACCTCTGCAACTATGATTATAAGGGTGTCATGTATAGTGGTGTATATCACCTATAAATACAAACAAAATATTCTCTTATTTTATCATTTTAGCCGTTGTACATCCACAGCACGAACAATTAGCAACATCCTGGAGTCCTGCTGTGTCCAGCCAGCATGATTCCTGAAAGACATGGCACCTTTAGTCATGGAAACAAGTATCCTACAGCTTCAACACTATAAAAAGCTGTATACTTGATACTGAAAGTGCAAGGGAGAGCACTTGTGAGTGTGTGTGTGTAGGGGTAGGGGGGTGTCGGTCTTCCAGTGTTTAGGAGCTCAGGAACATCAAGAGCTGTGTGTTGGCCAGGAGGCTCTCCTAGGGATAAACAGAGGGAGAAACTAATCCTTACTCTCCTTCACATCCAAGCAGGGTGCGTGTTTGTGTCCATGTGAGTGTGTGTGTGTATTTATCTTCGGAAATGTGCTTCTTCCATGGCTGCTGAAGCCAAGGTTGCGTGCGCATGTTGGTAAATGACCTTAAAGCATTAGAAAAAGATGCGTTACAGGCATGCATGTTCAGTCTAAGTCAATCACTGGCACATTTAGTAATCCATGTATGTGTGATGACGGCGATGTCTGTGTGAGTGTGTGTATGTGAGAGAGATAGAGACTGTACTGATGGGGCTTTGTGTAATCGTGCTGAGCAGTGAAGCGTGTCGAGAGAAAGGACATGTCCTCAGCTCTGATCACATAGTCTACTAGAACGACAGTGAAGGGAGGGAAGGAAAGAGAAAGACAGACGCTTGTTAGGGAAGAAGAGGAACACAAAGCATCAAATGAAACGATGATGAGGAGAGGACGACTGACAAAAATGGAATGAGAGAAGGAGTAAGCTACGGTAAAAGGGAGAGGTTGGTAAATCAAAAGGGAGGTTTCAGAAGAAATCCACGAGCTAAAAGAGGGATGGAGGTAAAGGCAGAGAGTGATAGAGCTGGAGAATTCGGAAAAAAGCAAAGAAAGAGAAAAGGGCAAGGAATTGATGCAGGAAACACGATAGTGACCAGAGTACAGTTGAAAGACACTGAAGCAGAGATGAAAGAATAAGAAGTTTAGATGGATATGGAAAGCTTAAAGTGCTGGTTTTATCCCCTAGTTTTTCCCTCTCCCCCTTCCCCTTTCCTCCATCTCTTGTGCATTCAGACAGGTTTTCCTAGTTGCAGCAGCCCAAGAAAATAAAATCAAGCGAGGCGGCCCCTCAGCCGACTGGCTAATTGCAGAGGTATCACTGTGTCAAATGACTAATAGAGTTTCCCTTTCCGTCGCTAATCTGCCAGCAGGAGCACAGCCGCAATTTGTTTACTCTTTGCAGATGCAAGGGAATACAAAGACACACCCGCCTTTTTATTTCCTCTCAAACACAATTTCACGCTGCCAGAGTGTTAGGTGTGAGACGTGTTAGTGGAAAGTGCACGTGTGTGTGTATCTGGTATACACAACACCACATGTTTCGTGATTTGTTTAATATTTCATGAAACACCCTGTAAGTTGTGTTCTGCTGGTCTTCAGCAAACTCATGATAGACACACCCTTTCACACTGTGTGTTTATTCCATATATAAACGTTAACACTCAATTATATGCTTAAATCTAACCTCAACAGATCTTATTCTCGCTTTCAGGTCCCGAATGACTTAATTTTTTGGTCAAAAATGCAATTACTTCAACAGCCTAAAGTCCCAATTTACTCTCAAAAGTAAGGAACACGAGAAGAAACACAGGTGTACAAATACAAAATACACATGCATTAGTCAGGCACCCACATCCTGATTTGGCAGGCAGTATTGGCCCCAGAGGTCAATCCATCACTCAGACCACACCATTAACTGAGCAAATCATAAATTCAGTAGCATACCATTTACTTAGAGTAGTTTAAGAAGAGACCGCAGAGTGTAGAAGGAAAGATTGTGTGAGTAGGAAAATGAATTGCATAAAGAGGCACGGGGAAGCAGAATACAAAGTACTGTAACAGAGTATGAAAACAAAAGGAGCGGCTAAAACAGTGATTTGGCAGCACATTTTGGGAGGATTCTTTCTGTTCTTTGTTCCCAACCATCTCTCTTTATCATTCTTGATTTTGTTCCTTTTTCCTTTACTTTTTTAGCTTATAACCAAGGACACTCCTTTTTAGTGGTCACAGCACAGGCTATAAAAATAATTTGACATGACATTTTTCCCTTCTTTTCACTGTTCTTCCACCCCCTCTTTTGCTCTGAGGTTTGTCCTGTCTGGTTGTCAAGTCTCTCGGTGAGTGCACACTGACACTGGTGGTGTTAGTCTAAAACCCGGACACTAATGAGACAGAAAGACAGACACACCGCAGACACAATTTTAAGACTACAGAAAAGTCTGGGATTTGCTTCTGATGGGAATAATGCTGCTTCATTACCCTCCTATACCCTCTGTTGTATGTGCTCCCTCCATTGCCTCGCATTTCTTTTCTTTTTCCTGTATTGACTGACTTTGTTCTCTAAAACGTGGCTTTCTCAGCTGCAGCCTTTTCTTTCCCCTGGACTCATCCACTGTTTTCCTGCCTAATTCTTTGGATTGTCAAATTTGGGGCATCAGTGCGCACTAGGATTGTGATCCAATCGCCCTGTCTTCCCTAGTTGGATTGCCAGTAACTGACAAAATTCCTGCTGGGGCGGGCAAAGGATTTAGTCAGTGTGCACTCGTTAAGGTGGTGCTGTCCATTCTCCATAATGCATGCTATGTGGCCTAAATACAAAAAAAAAAGTACGAGTGGTAACCAGAAGTTGACAAATCCAAGCTGAGCAGCTGAAACGATATTAAGTCAAAAAACAAAAAAAGCTGGAAAGTCAAACCAAAGTCCTTCTTCTGTTTTCTCTCATTTTTAAATGATGATGATCACGGGAGTGCTCCTTACATGCACATTCATTTTAAAGAGTGCAGGCATCCAAACACAAACTTGTCTGTACTTAACTGCTCATGCATGTCTGTGTCACCCAGGAGATAAAAAATATGCTAAAGTGATTACGTCATCCCTAAGGTTTCTTGTGCCGCTCATAGAGTTCTCCAGAATTGTTTGAAGAAGTTCAGTTCAAGAATATGGAATAGGATCGTTAAAGGACTGGTTTCGTCAGCCTTGTGTACAAAATAGGTTGGGCAGATCAGATGCATGGGTGTGTGTTTGTGTGAGTGTGCGAGAGAGAGATGGAGGTGAAAAAGAGAGTGATAAGAGGGTTGTGAAGGTCAGGTAAATGCCAGCACTCGAGACAGTGCTAAAGAGTCACGTAACGATAAGACACTCAGCCTCAGCACACTCTCACTTCCACACAACCTCCAGTCTTTTGTTAATTTGTGCTCTGGCTGGTAAACGCACCTTGTCATCTGTTTATATGAAATGCATAGGATTCTATTTGCTTATATGGGGAGTTTTAGTCTGCCTCATCCAGGCAGGTTTTAAAGGCTAATTCTGTTTGTGATTGGAGGTTCATTGGCCTATGTTAAAGCCTAAGCCAATCATACGGCCGCATATCGATTACAAGGCTCTGTGATTTATTGCTTACTCCTTGAAGAAGATGTTTATGGTGTTTTTCACGTGCTGTTTTCAGTCTGCATATACCTTTGTCCTAATGATGGATAAGATGGATTCCCCCCCCTCCACGGTCTGTCTCAGTGTTTTTACAGCCAAAGAAACGAGCCCCCCAGACTCACATTAACACCTTGATATATCACCACTCCACTGTTTCAGTGCATCACGGAGGGAAGACAGCTACTGTGCCCCTGAAGGCTGCTTACACCCTCCAGCAAATCCCAATTCAATTTCAAAGTCACTCCAAAGAGAGATGCCTTGTTGTTGTTTTATTTATACATTTTATGTATGTTTTTAGTCCTTTTTGATCACCAGGGTGACCTCACCATGATCTCTCAAAATGTGTGGACTCATCCCTTCCCTCGCATGAACTAGAGCAAAGTTTACATATTTTATTGCAGACTGATGGAGTAGTGTGTCATTGCAGTGACAACTCTAACAATGATTGTAGTCTCTCATTGTCAAAAGTATTTTTTTCCTTGCCACTGTCTTAAACATGGGGGCAGAACTACTCCACAACCATTTTTTAATGTGCTGTTGGCACTGTAGGATTGAACGGGCTTTGACAAAAACAGGCATTTACAGTGATTTCTGCTGTACAGCTATCAAGAATTGTGTTAAATTGTCAATAGATTTATGATATAGTATTTCATGTGTTTAATTTTATCTTACTAGATTATAATCTCTCTCTTTTAATCATGGGAATAAGGCCAATGTTTTTTTTTTACCTATATGGAGTTTTTTCCAAATGACTGTTCATCGCTGTGTTTGCTTTTCTGTCCTTCCTCTCCTGTGCTCGTGTCCTTGCCCTTCTCTCCTCCTCTTCCCTCATTCGCTCTCCTCTGTAGACCTGACCATGCGTATCCATGATCAGGTCCGTGACCTAAGTTATGTCCTCTGTCCCTACTTTCCTGCCATAGCACCCTCCTCCCCTGGTGTCGACTCCGCCCCTTTGCAGCGCACTGGAAGTCACGGCACAGGAACAGGAAACTACAACCGCGGCGGGACCAACAACTATGCCACAGTGGGGCCAGGCTACACCTCGAGTGGTGGTAGCGGAGATGTATATGGTTCAGATCCCTATGTGGCTGACCCCTACCGTACCCTGCAGTACTGCCCTTCAGTGGTGGAATCACCCTACAGCAAGTCAGGACCAGCTCTGCCGCCCGAAGGCAGCCTGCAGCGTTCACCTTCTATTGACTCTATTCAAAAAGATCCAAGGTAGGATGAAAAGAGAGTTGTAGAGTGTGTGTTGTGTGCATGAGTATCTGTGTATACATGTATTTTTTTAGGGGTTTATTGGATCACATCTTGTATGTTCAACATAATAAAAAATACAATGCCTAGACACACGTACACATCACATGAGTCACTTCAGAGGATGTTATACTGACTGCTCAAGACTTTGTCCTAACTTTACAAAAATGTTAATAACACCTAGCTCTAGACACAGATTAATATAGTCAGCCACTGATCATGCCATTATTCAAACTTTGTGATCTGTCATCTGATTACAAGCTCCAATCAAGGGACATCTTATGACTGACCTCAGTTTGAATTGCCAACGCTCATCATATATTCATAACTCCAATCATGTTTCCGAAGATTTCAAATTATTACTTTCAGTGAAATCACAACGGTGCTTTTGAGTTGCTTTAAAAAGCTTAAAATTGCAGTGTTCTTATAAACTCACAGTCAAAGCTTTTCTGCACAAACAGGTAGATTTCATGGTCTTGTGGTTAAGAAAAACCTTTAGTAACAGTCACACACTCAACTCAGCCATGACCATCAGGTTTTTTTCTAAAGCTCTCTAAAAACAGGTCTTTATGCCCGAAAATGCATTTACGCTGAAAATGTCTCAAAGTTAAGAACAGGCACGTTGAAGTAAGTGTGTTGTCTCAGGTACCAGTGTAAAAATTTGAAGGCACTTCAGATACCAAAACACTGAAGAAAGATTTTGCATATCTGGTTTGTCCACACTCTAGACTTTGAAAAATGAAGGTAAACAGCAATTATTCTTTAATTTGACAGGAAAATCTCTCATAAATATACAAAAAGTTTTTGCCAAATTAAACTTCTGTTTTTTTGTCCAGTGCAGCTACCTCATATGTACGAGGAAAAACGATCTAATAAGACACTGTTTTACTCCAGTCACACACCAGTTGCTTGAGACTTTTTTTTTCACCTCCCATAGTGTCATGCTGTGCGTAAAAGCATCCTACTGGGCTGTGATCACTTCCATCCTCTTGTCTTTGCAATTAAGCAAAGCTCATTCCCCGTCTTTTTTTTATACATATTTCACAGGACTCTTGATGTATAATTCCTTTAATTACAGAGCAAGAGGGACTGAGGCGGGTGGATCAAGTCTCAGCAGCAGCTGTCAGTCACTGAAAGGGAGAAAGAACACAGTGAACAGAGAGAGTGGGAGATTATTAAGAACAGTGACAATGAAAGTAAAAAAAGAGGGGGGAAATGATTAGCATGTGCACAGTCTGATGAAGGTAAAGTCCGTCACAAAATCCTGCAGTCTTACTGTAGGATGTGTCTACTTTTGATGATATAGTTAGACTGACTGACTCAAGACAGTCTTCATATTTCACAACAGCCAATGTACCCAATCAAGTGAAAGCTCATATCTGGTGAGTTTTGTTATTATAAAATAAACACAGCACTTCTGACTTACACTAGAATATCGTATCTGTTTACTTCACAAAAGGAACGATTATTGTCTTTTTCTTTGCACTCTGGACTTTGTTGTTCATAAACACTTCTTCTTTAGCAAAGTAGTATCAATTCTGAGCGAGGTATATGTTTTATTAAGGCATAATCTTCACACAGCAACAACATAACATAACAAAATAGTTGTAAGAGTAGACAGAAATATGTTTCCAGAAGGTTCAAAGAGATACTGGAGAGCCAGAAGTGAATATAGGTCAGTAAGATAAGAAAATGTGAGCGATTGCATTTTCACATCCTAAATCTAGTATTTGATGATGAAAAGAGGCATTGCATACCTAAAAGGCTAAATTAGCTAATCCGTTGTATAACTGGTTTTAATATATTAAGTTGTACGCTGAAATGTATTTCTATACATAAGTGTGTGTGTGTGTGTGTGTGTGTGTGTGTGTGTGAGTGTGTGTGTGTGTGTGTGTGTGTGTGTGTGTGTGTGTGTGCATGGAGGGAGAGGGGGTGTAAGTGGATATGTAGCAGAGGACTTTTTAGAACTTTTAAAAGTTGATTGTTTTGTAATACTCATAATACGAAAACCAAGCCAATGTAGGAGTAGGTTTAGCGCTTACATTTCACATACAAACACACTCAGGCATACGCACATTGTTCTCTTTATGCACTTGCAATGAAAGTGTTTATTGTTGGCCCTCTAGTGTTATTGCCACACTTGCTTGTATGCACAGTCAAGATCATTTTGCTTCCATTATTGCCTCAGGCTTCATGGATTTCTGTGCACAGATCCAGACAGAAATCTCATTTTTCCCCCATTTGCACTTTTTTTCCTCCAGCAAAGTAACAAGAAATGGTAGAATTGCAAGCATTTTGTACACTGGTTGAATTCAACACTAAAGATCTTTTTCACAAATCTGAGCCTTTGTGGTGAATGCTGCCTGCAGATTGCATAGTGATTTATTACTATTATGTTACATCATTACTATTTTTAACTTTATGCACAGTTAAAGGTAGGGATGGGTACCGGTGTCCGGTGCCATGATGGCACCGGTTCTGACATAAACGGTAGTAACCAGACCGAAAAGCAGCGCACATTTCGGTGCTTTATTTCGGTGCTTTTTTTTTCCTGAGCTGTGATACACTTCTAGCCAATCATTTTACGTTTCCGAGGATAGTAGGCGGGGCCAGGTACGTACGTTCTGTTAGAGCAGAGCTACAGATTAAAAATGTCCAAGGCGAAGCGGTCAAAAGTATGGCTGTACTTCACAGCAAAATATGCAAACTCAGCAGCAACAAGTGCTTTAAGCTGATACTGTGATACTGTCAAAGGAGGTAACACCAAGAATCCGATTAAACAGCTGGCGACGCATAGCGTTTTTTTTAAAAGCCGAGAAATGCACCGTATTTGATAGCTTGCTGCGAGACCTCACACCGAGCACGTCGGGTGGGTTGCCAGTTATCGGACCCGGAGCAACATCCCCCAAAAACCCGAAGAGGAGAGTCCTGGCCCCTAGCCCTGCCAGTGTAGCAGAAATGATGACGGGTGATGATGCAGCAGCAGCCATTCTTCTCTGCATGAGTAGCTTAATGTTGTTCGTGTGTAATTTACGTTGAGTAGGCTAACCACGTTATTACATTAATGCATGTAAGGTGAACTAGCAAACATCATCATAGCTACATGCGGCTGTCTTCTTGTTTGATGGCAGATACTCCCTTCACCCTGGCCAAAAAGGCTAAAATGACCAAAGAAAAAGTGGGAAACAGCTGAACATGAGAGGTTTTTGGACAAAGTTTGTGTTTTTTCCATTGTTTAAGCACTGCTTCCAGCCAAGAGTGATACCATATATGCCACATAGCTGCAGAAAAGGCTAACATTGTTATCTTTTTACAAAAAAACCCAGCTGAACATGAGAGGTTTTTTGACAAAGTTTGTGTTCTCCATTCTTTAAGCACCGGTTCGAGCACCGTTTAAGCACCGGCACCGTTTCAAAAGTACCGATTTGGCACCGGTATCGGATAAAACCTAAACGATACCCATCCCTAGTTAAAGGTGTCTTTAAATGCCTAATTTCTAGCTGTATTTTTTATGCAGTTATCTTACTGTGCTTAATATTGTTGAATTGAAGTGTGTTAGATTTCTCTTTGTCAGGAGGTTAAATGGCCTCCTACTCAAACTCCACTCTCTCTCTTGCTGTAATTGGATCTAGTTGAGCTAACATGAAGTGCTAAATGAGTTAGCAGCTATTAGACACAAAGAACACTGCGAGTGAGGGCAGAGGTGTGTGTGTGTGTGTGTGTGTCTGTGTGTACATGTGTGTACATGTGTGTACACACGAAACGAAAGACTATGTTTTTTTATATAATCAATTAGCATATCTTATTTATTAATGTGTGTATGTCACTGTATAATGTGTGTGTGCATACATGGTAGCCAGTGACATACTGCTATTATAGCTGCAAAAGAGTGAGCATGATAAGCAAGAGGTGGTGACAGCAACATGAAGGGAAAACTCAATATCTGTCAATGGATAGCAGTACAGAGAGGTGGGAGGAAGACAAGGAGACAAGATAGATGAGGGGTGGAAGGAAGGAGGGAAGAAGGAATTACTGATGAGAAAGCTAAAGGGAGCAGTGCAAAATAAAGCTGGAGAAACAGGAGGAAGGGAAGAAAACAGACACAAAGAGAAAAGGAGGGAAATGCAGAAAGACGAGGGAAATGAGGAAAAGTTAAGGTTGGTCTTTAGGTGATCAACATGCATGGGGAGAATAAATATAAGAATAATAGGAAAAGTGCAGAGAAGGCAAGGGCAAAATATAGATACAGTGTCTCCCATTATTGTTTTGTCTAAGGCAGCGTCTCAGAAAGTTTGTGCGTTTCCCTCTAAGCGTTCTGCGTGTAAAGCGATTGTCACCCCCACTGGGTTTCTTTCTTAAAATGAATATTAAAAACAGTGTAGGGAGTGAGATGATGAGAAATGTTGAGTGCAGACTTGCATAACCAATAAACAAAGAGAAGAAAGAGGAGCGAAAGGCAATAATGAAGGGGAACATTTTTAACAAATGAAGGGGATTTGGAGACTCTTAAGTGAGTGAAGAAAGCATGGCATCTGCATTTGTTTAGGGAATAAGCTATACTGTACCTTGAGAGATTGAAGGAGAAGAAGACAGAGGGAGGGAACGATGTTGGGCATACAGGAAGAGAGAGAGAAACATTAACTTGGGGAAGATGGGAGTTAGGCACCAGTGGTTTTTGTTCTCAAACTTGGGGCTTAGGAAAGCATGTAATAGGGTGAGAAACAACATAAAGGGTAAGTTAGATTATGCAATGGGAATTCACTGCGCTGCAGTTATGAGGATTGACAGGAAGGAAGAAAGAAAATAGTTGGACCATTTTGATCAAAAACAAGACTACACCATTGTTTCAGCTGTGGGGAAATGCTCGACTTATCTAATCGCACACTGAGCCTGAAACATAGACACAAGACTTCAAGATAAATCAGACTCTCGTCATTTAAATCAGACTCGCCTCATTTACATTT